TAAATTAATAAAAAAAAAAAAAAAAAAGAAACCTACGTGTGCGATGTACTGTTCTAAGGCTCTTCAGAGTAGTGTTAGAGAAATACTAATAATTCACAGTGTCACTGTTAGTAACATCATTATGTTCTGTTTGCTTACATTTCGTGAGCTCACTTGTCTTTTCAATATTGTCATCTGAAGTGAACGTGCTGGACACTGCTGCGTAGCTGTTTGAGGACACATGGGAGGCTGGGGCTCAATTTCTGACTCATCCTAAACCGCCCTGCCCTGTGGTGATAACTTGTGGTCTCAGTGACTCAGGAGACTGAGGCAGGAGGCTTGCAACACTGAGACCCTGTCTAAACAAGAAAGCAGTGACAGCATACCAAAAGTAAATAAATAATATACCCAAAGCTGCCAAAATAGCTGAAGCTTCATTACTTGACTTGCCTTGATTGATAGCACTGGGGCTTGGAGAAAAGGAGCAGATGTTCCTCTAAGACTTTGATTACAGAAGCCTTATATACTTTGAGTTGATTTCGAATTTTAAGCTCAAAGCCATTGTTGTCTAAATCTAGTTTTTCTAAGTTACTAAAATAATTTTTCCCCAAAATAAAGAGTTGAATGGCATGAAGGATCTTGTGACACACTAGGAAGAGCCAGCTTACTGCCACGCTCCCTTCCTCTGGCCATTAGGGGGAGATGTTGCCTTTCATTGAGGTTTAGAAGCAAACTATTCACTTGTTTAGAAAACAAAATCCTTTAAAAAAAAAAAAAGAAAAAAAAATGCACCCAATTATACTGAATACCCAGAAGGAGCTATACTCAATTTTCCCCTAGTTTAAGAAAAGAGGATATAAGGTTCAGCTTCAAAACCAACATTATAATTGACTTCTACATTCATTTATGTAAGATACTGCCGCAAAGTCGTTTCTTTTAAGTTCATTAAAAAATTCCAACAGCATTAGATTTATTTTTTATGTTTTTTTTAAAAATATATTTTATTTGCTTGCTAAAGATTCAGGGGATTCTGCGAGACCCTGAATTTAGAAACATCTGGTCTACCTCAGTTAAATGTTGACTGCTTAGAAATAGAGCTGAAGTGATCACCACAGCCATAAAATTGTTTGACTCAGAAAGATTTATACAATGTTTACAAACCTGGAATCAAGGATTTTATTAGAAAGTTAAAGGTTAGATATTAGAGCAAGTATTTATTTCAGGTATTTCCAAGTTTTAGACTTGTTTATCTACTAAAAGAAAAATAGGTATAGTTTTTCTGCTTATGAAAGTCTATTAAAATGATATGCCCTAATTTGCAATACTTTTCCCATGAAGTTTTAAGTGCGAAAGAACTGTAAATTACTCGGTATGTTTGGGATGAGATGTTTGGTTGGATAAGTTTTCTTTAACCTATAAGAGACTTCCAAAAAGAATATAATTGTTTTCACAACAAATTTATTATACTTTCCCTTTTTCTTTACAGTATTAGGGAGTAAAATGAAAAATTGTGCACTCTCTGATTTTAACTTCTCTAAGATAATTACTCTTTTGGGGATTAAAAAAATTCAAATGACTGTCACACAACCCTTTCTATAGCAAAGCCAGCATTTGTTCCCTCACCAAACCCCATGCCAAATTCATTGTAAAGAAAGCTCAGCATAAGTAATTCAAATAGTGCTTCTCATTTTTTTCGGTGGGGCGGGGTGGGTAGAATTTAGTGACTATTCCAACTGGTCGTTTTATGCACAAGGCTTCAGTCAGAACATAGAAAAAAACATTCTGTGAATGAAAT